TGTTTTTCTGCTATAACAACAACTTCATCTACATTTATTCCAACTACGGCATGATTATCCTTTGGATTAATACCACCTTGTATAGGATTGGCATGATTCTTGTAATTGTTAAAATTGACTTTTTAGGGAGGTATTTTAACCCATTGCTTTTGAGGAAGGTGTCTCAGGAGCTTTCTCTTCCCTCACCCTTTATTTAAAGCATTCTCATTTCTCATCTTTTATTGGAAAGATGTGTAGTAATAACAAAAAAAGGCCTCTCTTATTGGCGTATAAATGGAAATGGAAATCAATCAAATTAGAATAGGAAGAATAGGCACATGCGGTTCACACAATAATTGTAACATTGTCTCACTCGTTCTCTTTTATTTGAGTTTGATGATGTCAGTTGTAGTTAGCAGACTCACTCTAGGCAACGAGAAGAAGATAAGAACTCAGGAGGGAATTGGGTCAGATGAGTGCATGGTTTTTATTCCTTCCCCTCGAAGATAAAAAAGAATTTGCTATTGAGAAGAAAGAAGAGACAGAGTGGGAAGTGGTAACTGTTCAGGTGGAATCTTTCCTGAATTATGATGAGAAAGTAAAAGGAAAGGAGGTTGGAGTTCTGAATAGTAGAAATGACTTTGACTTTGATGGTCTTCCCGATCATAAAGTCAGAATTCTTGATCTCGTGACTCAGCCTTATGTTGATGATTGCCAAGCTGTCATAGAGCAACAAGGAAATAGTCTGGACCTTACCTTATTACAGAAAGGGGGATGGGCCTATGATAAAAAAGGTGTATAATGAAACTCTCCTAACTTATTAACCATCCAGTTTTTACATTATCATACGCGCATCATAGTGTTCACATAGAGGAGCACCACAATAGTGAAACTAATCACTGCTCTCCATTTCTTCGGACTAGTCAATCACATTGTTTTTATGATTTGATCTGACGGTCAGGATCATTTACGGCAGAGGTCCCACTATCTGAATTGAAGAGTGCTATTTGAATTAAACATTGTTGCACGGACCTGTAAAACTCACTATATCTCTCGTTTTTATGATACAAATTATTTATTTTGTAAAAAAAAATTTATGTATATTATTTACAAACAAAAATATCGATTCAAAAATTGTAATCGGTTCAATTTTTCACATTTGTCAAAAAAAATAAAAATAAAAGAATATATTTTTAAAAATATACTTGTGGCCTATTTTTTAAAGATAAATGTAATAAATTGAATAAATTATAATTATTAGATCGGTTTAATTTTTTTTTTTTTTTAATGAATGGTATACGTAAACAGTTTTATAAAATAAAAAATTTAAATTATTGAAGCATAACTAAGGATGAGCCCTATTAATCCAAATGAAACCATTCCATCCAAATATCGTAGACTGAGGGAAGCCAAAGCTTTCAATAAAAAAATGTCACAAATCTATTTGAGGCCGAGGTGAACATTTTAATTGACTTTTATAATTATTTTAAAAATCAAAATCATAACTACATCCCTCAACCTTCATAATCAAAATAATTTTGATAAAAAATATTTAATATTTAATTTTATTATTATTCTTTTTCGTCTTGATTGAGATAAGAAAAAATTTGTAAATGTGATAATAGGATTGTTTTTGTGTTAAACAAGAAATGTCATTTCTCTCTAATTTTTTACTATTTGACTTAGAAATCAAGATAATTGATTGTATTCTTTATAAATAATTTAAGATAGGTAAATTACATTGAACTCTCTTCAAGTTTGAAAAAAGCAAAATAAATTTCATAATTTTAACATAATTATATCGAATTTCCTTTTAGTAAGATTAAAGAAACCTAAACTAATACAAACAATATAAAAACACAATTATAAAATAAAGTAAAATATACATTTCAGTATAAAAATGTTGACTATACAATTTTTTCATCGATATGACTAATGAATAACTGATGAAACGATGACTAAGTGTTATGTGAATTAAAATAAAAAATGAGTCCCATGTAATTATGTTAAACATGTGAGCCTTATTATATTTTCTTCCTATCTCATGAAAGATATTTGTTATTTTTTATTTATATTTACAAATAATTTTTTACTATTATTTTATTTCAAAAAATCATTTTGACTAATAATTATTTTTATATCTATACACATTATGGTGGAGGTACAACAATGGAGACCCCTTTTCTGCTTGGGGCTTAGGCATAGTCCCAGGTCATCAAGTGGCCTATAGGGCGAAATACTTGAGTTTGGATCTTTTGTATTATGTACCTGTAATATTTTAAAACGATGTTATTTTGAAAAAAAAATAGTGCCACGTGTCGGCCTGGGGTTGGCTGAAAATTCAAAAAAAAAAAAAAAAAATTGTTTTTTTGGACCAATGGGAGGGACCCAGTACTGCCACTGGGGTTCCAAAGCTTTATTCGTGGAGGTACAACAATGGAGAGTCCCAGGTCATCAAGTGGCCTATAGGGCGAAATACTTGAGTTTGGATCTTTTGTATTATGTTCCTGTAATATTTTAAAAAGATGTTATTTTGAAAAAAAAAAATTAAAAAAAAAAATAAAAAAAAAGAGAAAAAGAAACTAGTAGAGAAAGAACAAAGAAGGCATCAATGGCGCCAGTCTCTAGTGACCTCACCAATGCAACCACCCACCACTGCCATCTTCACCCACTGATGCCACACCTCCCCACTATCACTACTATCACTACTGTAACTCACCTTTCTCTCATCCCACCTCCTTCCTCTTTCTAAGGCCTAGTTTGGAAAAAATTAAAAAAAAATTAAAAAGTCATTAAAAAGTTAAAAAATTAAACAATTATATAAAAAAATTGAAAATTTTATTTATTTATTACATATTTTCTCGTGAAAAAAAAAAGAAGAAAGAGGGTAAGTCAAAAAGGGGAGCATCTATTTACACACACCTCTCTCTATACACATCCTCCACACACACCTCTCTAACACACCCTCTCATTAAGTGTGTGAGAAAAGAGGATATAGTGTGTGCAAATAGAAGCTCCCGTCAAAAAGTTACTATGAAATAGTTTATTCCAAAACTAACCCTTATTCTTATTTTTTTTTTTCTTCTTCCTCATTTCTCTCTCTAAAAACAAAACTCACCAACGCGAGCCTTTCTGGCAACCTCATCAACGCGACCACCCACTATTGCCGCCACTCACCAACGCTACCACCATAGTTCTAAATATCGGCCGATACGCTACGTATCGGAAAAATGGGGTGCCGCGACGGATACAGGCCGATATACCACTGAGATTAAAAATCGCAGGAGTATCGGCCGAGTCCCGGTACGTATCGGCCTGTAAGCGTTACACAAGCCGTTACACAAGCCGCGACGGGCCGATACTCACCGGTTCGGACCAGTACGGGAAAGAAAAAGTTGAAAAACCTTTGAAATGATTTTTAAAATTTCACCACCGCGACACCCGATTCCCGATACGTGCCGATCGATACTACCGATACCGATACTCCGCGATCGATACCGTTACGTTACCCGATACCGCGATTTAGAACCTTGGCTACCACCTCCCTGCCATTGCCATCGAAACCACCTGTCTTTCATCCAACATCCTCCATATTCTCATTCTTCTTCATATTCCCCATCATTCTCTCTCTCTAAAAATTACTAAACCCACTAGTGTAAGCCTCTCCAAAGACCTCACCAACGCGACCCCCTACCACTGCCACCCCCACAGTCGGTGCCCTCTGACCTCCTCTCCCCCACCCCCTCCTCCATAAGCTCCAATCAATCTCATTCTAATGCAACTGCCATGAGGCAGCTTCTCTCTGTCTCTGTCTCTCTCTCTCTCACAAAATGCCCATTCACCATCTTAATCTAGATCCGCTTCTACTCCATAGTCGCCACCGCCGCCGCACAAAACCCTAACCTCCTCAATCAAGAGAAGAAGAAGAAAACGAATATGAAGGAATTTGTGGATTTACAACAAGGGTGTTGTGGGGGTCAAAAGCTAAGAGTTATAGTGGAGGGGCTGTGGAGGTCGTAATGGTGTAAGCAGGGGCAAGGCTATGTATAGTTTAGTGGTGTCAATTGACACTACTGAAGTTTCAAATTTTGTTCAAATATATATGAAAATTTGTCTAATAGTTTGGGATTTTAATAAAATGATCTCAGTGTTTAGAACTATTCATTATTTAGTGATGTCAATTTTAATAAAATGATCCCAATAAATCTAGATAAATATCACATATATTTGGAGCTATTTATTGTTTAGTGGTGTCAATTTTAGTTCAGTATTCGTTTGTTCATTCGCTCCATCAACACTTCATTCTCTAACAACCATTGTTGTATTGGCATTGATACATTCCTTCATTTGTTCTCTCTCTCCCTCTTAGTGACCTCACTCAATGGAATTTCTGGCTATGCCACTGGTTGTAAGTTGCTGGAGATGGGTTTACAGCAATAGTGTCTTTTTTTTTTTTTAAGTTTTGTCCCAAAATGATATCATTTTTGGGCACTAAAAGAATGCATTACAGGGAGACGTTACAGAGGATCTGGACTCAAAATACCTAGCATTGCCTAGTCCGACCCATCCAACTCGACTTGGCCCCCTTCCTTGCCCAAGCCATAAATAGTGGTTTAAGGCTTTCGTCAATGGGTTGTAACTCGAGCATACCTCTAACCCTAACGGACAAGGGCCTGTATGGGCAAGTCCAACCCGACCATCCTACTACTATTGTCGAACTAATTAACACAATAAAATAATAATAATAAAAAGTGCTACAATGATCATATTTATATGTTATATTAGGTCTATTATATGATGTGTTTATAAATATGACTATTGTAGTATTACTTATTTTAAAAAGAAGAAAAAAAAATTATACTTCAACATATTTTTAAAAAAGTAATTACAAATACATTGAAAAACTCATGTGTTTAATTATATAAAATTGATCAAATTTATTACTAATTTGTAATTATTTTTTCAATATTGCATTAATCTACAATTTCTCCCAAAAAACAAAAAAGGCAACTACGGAAACATATTATGAAAAAATTGTATTGAATCTAGTGCAAAAAAATGGTATCCATGGAAAAGTTCATCCTACGCCAGTAACCAATCCAACCTACAGCAATTCTAAGTTCAACTTCTACAATGCCTTCACAAGAGGAGGATAAATAAACAAGCTCCAAATCGCATGATATCCCAAACCACCCAGCGCAAGTTTGCATTAGTCCTCAACCCACCACCACTACTCGGAACATCCGACGCCGTCGGAGGGTCCACGTAGGGCGCAAGAGCAGGCAAGACGAGGCTCGGGGGGAGGCCGAGGCCGTAATTCACGACGATCTGGAAGGCCATCCCATGCTGGCACTGAACGGCATTGTCGGCGTCGGAGTAGTAGTAGTTCGTCCCGTTTTCGGTCAACGGCACCGGAATCATCACCGGCACTCCGGACTGGTTGTTGCCTCCGCCGTACTCGAACGTGTCGTCCGATGCATCGTCCATGACGCAGCTACGGTAAATCGTCTCGTTGTAGGTTTGGATCACTGTCTGATTGGTATTTGTGTTGAATACTACACATCACAATGGAGAAAATTTTGATATGAAAATGTAAACGAATCAAATCAAACTAAGAAAATGGAAGTATGTTCTGTTCTTTGTTTGACGAGAAACTGGCGGAAGGGGAAAGAAATAAACGATTGATATTCATTTCGTTAAAATGCTGTGCGTTTTTTTTTTTTTTTGATCAACAACAAAAAAAAATGCTGTGTGTTTGGATTGTAAGAAAATGAGGTAAAGCAAGAGCTCTGTTTTTTTTAGATAGAACAAGAGACTATTGGGAAGTAGTTATTTTAGTTATTTTTAATTTTTTAGCGGAGATATGATGCAGAACTAAGAAAATTCGTTTTGGAAATGAATTGGTTTTTTGACTTTTTCGTTTGGAAAATGGATTGAGTTTTTGATTTTTTAATTTTTTTTTGACTATTTTAATCTAAGGCTAAAATGCTTGATTTGAAAAGGACTTTTGACTTTATTGTAAGAAAAAAAATAAAATGGTTATGACTTCGTTTGAGAAGAACCACAGAGGACTTGGGATCAATAGATTTTATTTATGGGAATGACTTCTGTCCAGTCCTTAATCGAATTGGACCGTGCTGTTGGGTCCGTGGAGGCTTACCACGGGTCTTGTTTTGATAATCTGAACCGTCAATGTGTAGAATTCGTCGAGTACTATATGCTTAAAAAAAATCACGTTGATTGGATATCGATAGCTATGTGATCAAAACAGATTTTTGTCAACCGTTAATTTATTCACCGTTCATTTTTTTATACAAAAATGATTTGATCACATAACTATCGATATCCGATTAACGTAATTTTTTACAGACATATAGTACTCGACGAGTTCTACACATTGAACGGTTCAGATTATCAAAACGAAATCCGTAATGACCCACACAGACCTAATAATACAATCCAGTCCGATTAAAGACCGACAAAAGCCATACCCTTTATTTATTTTTATTCATTCTAACTCCAATCAAACTAGAATAATGTTACCCATCATATAATAAATATTATAAAAAAATTTATAAAATTAATTTAAAGATAATAGTATAACATATAATAAAATACTATAAACTAATTCAAAACGAAAACGTCTCATGATATATATTTCTTTCGTGATACTTAATCAAACAAATGGAAGATAGTATTGACCTTGAATTGAGTAGATCATGAGCAGGATGAGGTCTGAAATTTTGATTAGGTAACTAAAAACTAGTTTATTTTGCTTCCTATACCCGCATTTTCATGGGAATCAAACAGAGACACCAGAACTGATCATCAAATAGATCAGTAAACTTTCTCTCACCTAACTATTTCCCCCATTTTCCCGCTAAACAAACAGCAGATCAGGCAAATAAACAAAAATAAAATAGAAAAAGAATGGGAACTTACTTAGATAGTCACCGAGATTGAAGGTTTGGGAGGCGGCCCAGGTAGTGTAATTAGCGGAGGAGGTGTTGGTGGTGGTGTTGAAGAACCATCCGGATGCGCCGCCGACGGTGTGGTTGGTGTATTGAGTGGCGGCGGGGGTGTCGGATGCTACGGCGGTGATGGAAAGAGCTAAAACAGTTAGATATAGCATGGTCGCCATTGGCATGGCTTATTAGGCGACCTTTGAATTTTGAATCTATGATCTGTAAATTGAGAGATGGGATAAGTGTAGAGAGAGATTCTTATTAGACTTTTGTAAAAGATGGAATCGTGGAAGGCATTTGCCAGCCAGAGCGCCGCTCTTTCCGTTGCGAAACACGTGAGTCTCGATTTTCCCATGTTCCGGAATTAAATGAGGCTGAGAGAAAACAAATATTAAATAAAAGAAAATTATAAATAGATTTATTTAAAATATATATCAATGGTTTTGATAATTTAAAAAATTATAAATATTCTTTTATCAAAGTTTTTTATTTATTAAAATTAATTGAAAAAATAAAATTTCTAACTACTCTCGTATACAATAATAAAATATCATGAATTATTAACAGAAATAAATTTCTGATATCATTAAAAATTATTAATTGATTTGATGATTTATTAATAAAATGATCATTTGTTATGAAATTAAAAATTTTAAGGGACATAATGTAATTGTCAAAACCACAAAGAACAAATCGTATTTTAAACAAATCTCAAGAAGTGTATTTTGTAATTTATCCAAAAAATAATTACATAAGTTACGAACAAAAAAATTGTGATTTTTGTTCGGTTCGGAATCAAACTGGAGTGTTGTTAAGCTTCCGTGGGCTCACGCGGAGCTCATATCGATAATCCGAACTGTTTAATGTGTAGAATTCGTCGAGTACTTCATCTTTGCAAAAAAGTCACATTGATCAAATATCGATAGTCACATTGATCAAATCAAATTTGTGTCAACCGGTAATTATGATTTTAAAAATAAATTGTTCACACAAATGTGATATGATCAATGCAATTTTTTTACATGGATAAAACATTCAACGGGCCTTATATATTGAACGATTTGAATCATCAAAACGAACCCAAAGTAAGCTAGACTAGATCGTCCAGTTGGGTAATTCAACTAGAGACCGTCCAAATCCAATAAAAAAATAATAAAATATAATTTTTTTTTTATCTTGTTTAGTTAAATTGCATAAAAGGAAAAAAAAAATTGCTTCATGATATATTATTAAGCCTCCGTTTGGGAAGTGGGTTGACTTTTTGGCTTTTTGGCTATTTTAGCCTGGGCTAAAAAGTTTGGTTTGGGAAGGGTTTTTTGACTTTTTTGACTTTTTTTGTGAGAGAAGAGTGTAATGATTATGGGTTAGATGTGATGTTTTATTTTTTGTGCCTTAAATAGCCTATTTTGTCTTTTGTGATTAAAATAGCCAAAAAAAACCTAGAAAAGCTCTTCCCAAACGGACCCTAAATTAATGTTTAGTAGGCGTGCCTTATTTTTTCTCTATTTAAAGAGGTAATTTTGGTATTATAAGAAAATAGTAAGTAGTTGATTTCTTTTATAGGTAACTCCACTTACACATAGAATGGCAGCGGGGCGGGGCGGCGCCAGGGATCGCACTCCCCGTCCCCGTCCCCGTCCCCAATCCCCGACGGGGAACCCATCAACCCCCCCACTCCCGCCCCCAATGGGGATCGGGTTTCCCCGACCCCGGAAAATCCCCGTAGCTCCCTTCTCTCTCTGTTTAACCAGTTACCAGCAGACTCCGTCTCCACTTTCCAGCATCTCAATGGCTCTTTCCTTAGCCATTTTATTGGAGCCCAACGCCAGCGACACCCAGCAACCCAACTCCTCAACAAAACTCCCCGTCCCCGTCCCCGATCCCCGACGAGGAACCCATCAACCGCCTCACCCCCGCCCCCAACGGGGATCGGGTTTCCCCGACTTCGGAAAATCCTCGTAGCTCCCTTCTCTCTCTGTTTAGCCAATTACCAGCAGACTCTGTCTCCACTTTCCAACATCTCAGTGACTTCTTCCTCAGCCATTTTATTGGAGCCCAGCGCCAGCGACGCCCAGCAACCCAACTCCTCAACATTCGACAAACCGAGGGGGAGTCGCTACGCAGTTTCGTTACCCGCTTCAACCACGAGGCCTTGCAAGTAGCGAAAAATGATGACAAGGTCATCCTCACTGCTTTCATGGCCAGTCTGCGGTCATCCGACTTCCTGTTCTCTCTCTCTAAAAACCCCCCGACCTCCATGGCAGCCCTACTCTCCAAAGTCCAAAAATACATGAACGCTGAGGATTCCCTAGCCACACGGCAAGATCCAATAACCAAAAGCCCGACCCCTAGAGAAAAGAGAAAAGACTCAGAACCCAGGAACACCCAGTATAATAGCCAAACACCACACTATACCGACCGACTCCCCTGAGCTGACCGGTCGGCACCAGCCCGACCGCCTGGTCGGTTCGAGCGGTACACACCCCTTAATTCCCCCATGGAACAAGTTCTCAATCAGATCCAGCGGGACTACCCCCTCAAATGGCCCCAACCTTCGCGAACCCCTTCAAATTAGAAAGACCAGTCCAAATATTGCCGCTTTCACCAGGACCATGGCCATAACACTGGTAAATGTGTTAACCTCAAAGACCAGGTTGAGACCTTAATACGTTAGGGGTGCCTTAGCCGGTTCACGGACACCTGCCCTCAGCAGAGGCAAAGAACTGAGCTCCTCAGAAACAACCGCCGGTGCACCCCTCCCCGGCAGCCAGCCCAACCTAACCAAGGCCATGATCGCCCTCCACAACAGCCTCAGCCACCAGGTAATTGTCCCCCAGCTGTTGGTGAAATCAGAGTTATTTCAGGTGGCCTTGCTTGTGGGGGACCATCCCGCTCGGCTCAGAGGGCAGAACTCAGAAAGATAAGGCAGGGCTCAGACAAAGCAGTTGCCACGGTAGACCGACCCCCCAAACAGCCCAAGCAGTGGACCGAGCCCATCACCTTCACGGACGCCGACTGTGTAGGCATCCGTTACCCTCATGATGACCCTCTCATCATTTCTGCCCTCCTCTCTAACTACAAGGTCAGGCGAGTTCTCATTGACAACGGCAGTTCTTCAAACATCATCTTCCTCAATTGCTTTCACCAGCTCAAAATCGGGGAGGAAAGTCTGTCTTCTCTCCAAACCCCTTTGGTCGGTTTCACTGGCGATCGGGTGACCTCAATCGGCTCCATCGATCTTCCCATCACAATCGGTGAGTACCCACGGCAGACTACAAAGTTGCTCACTTTCCTTGTTGTCGATTGCCCATCCGCTTACAACATCATCCTTGGCCGCACCGCCCTAAGTGCTTTTCAAGCTATCACGTCAACTTACCACCTCGCCATTAAGTTCCCCACCGATCTGGGGGTCGGGACAGTGAGAGGAGAGCAGACCGTGGCCAGGGAATGTTATGTCGCCTCATTCAAAGAAGTCAAGCTGAAGGAAGCCATGATCATTGAAGGACTTGACGTTCGAGATGAGGACGAGCTGGTCAAAGGAGAACTTGTGAAGGAGCTCGTGGAGGTTCCCATCGACCCTACCAACCCAACGAAAACTGCCAAAATTGGCAGCCAACTATCCCCCAAGCAAAGGCCGACCTTACTGCCCTCCTAATCGAGCACAATGATGTCTTTGCCTGGACCCATTCAGACATGCCGGGTATTGACCCCTCCTTCATAACCCATCGCCTCAGCATTGAACCCCATTTCCGACCTTACCGCCAGAAGCAGCGCATCTTTCATCCTGAGCGTAATACTCTTATTGCCGCAGAGGTTGACAAGCTCCTTGAGGCCCAATTCATCAAGAATGTGGACTACCCCAGATGGTTGTCCAATGTGGTCCTAGTCTGCAAGAACAATGGCAAATGGCGACTCTGTGTCGACTACTCCGACCTCAACCGAGCTTGCCCCAAAGACAGTTATCCTCTTCTCCGCATAGATCTACTGGTCAACGCCACGGCCGGTCACCAAATGCTTAGCTTCATGGATGCCTTCTCTGGGTAAAACCAAATTCTAATGCACCTATCTGATCGGGAACACACCTCCTTCATTACCGACCAAGGCACTTACCATTACCGTGTGATGCCATTTGGACTGAAAAATGCTGGGGCCACTTACCAACGGTTGGTCAACACCGTTTTCCATCATCAGATCGGTCGAAATATGGAAGTATATGTCGACGACATGCTAGTCAAGAGCAAACTCTCTGCTGATCATCTGGCTGACCTGCGAGAGACCTTCGCCACCCTACGAAAGGACCAAATGAAGCTCAACCTAGAGAAGTGCGCCTTCGATGTAGGATCTGGGAAGTTCTTAGGTTTCATGGTCAGTCAGCGGGGGGCATTGAAGCTAACCCTGAAAAGATCAAGGCCTTGATTGAAATGCAGTCACCCAGAACGGTTAAGGAAGTTCAGAGACTCACTAGCCGAGTTGTCGCTTTCAACCGCTTCATTTCCCGTGCAACGGATAAGTGCCTCCCCTTCTTCAAAATTCTTCGGCAAACTTTTGAATGGACGACCTAGTTCGAAGAGGCTTTTCAGCAGTTGAAGCAGTGCATGGCCAACCCCCCCTCCTTTCTCAAGCAATCACTGGCAAACCCCTCTTCCTCTACTTAGCCGTTTCAAGCACCGCAGTCAGTGCAACTCTTATCAGAGAAGACGACTCTGTTCAACGACCGGTCTACTACATCAGTCGGGCCCTCAGGGGCGCCGAGCAGAATTACCCACTATTAGAAAAATTGTCACTGGCCTTGGTCACTACTTCCAGATGACTCCGTCCTTATTTCCAAGCCCATTCCATAGTGGTCCTCACCGACCAACCTTTGAAGAAGGTAATGCAGCAACCAGAGCTCTCTGGCAGACTCATGCAATGGTCAGTGGAACTCAGCTAGTTTGACATCTCCTACCGATCTCGAACAGCAATTAAGGGGCAGGTTGTCGCCGATTTCATCATGGAGTTCACTAATCCTACCCCAACCACGGCCACTCCACCCTTACCAACCCCGTCCGAACCAGAGGACCCTCATTCTTGGACTCTCAATGTCGACGGATCATCCCGCAGAGAAGGCAGCGGGGCTGGCCTCATCCTCACCGGCCTTGAGGGTGGTTATTTCAAATGTGCTCTCCATTTCCTGTTCGATGCCAGTAATAATGAGGCCGAATATGAGGCATTGATAGCAGGGCTCCGCCTAGCCAGGGACATTGGTGTTAGCCACATCCGGGTGTTCAACGACTCCCAGCTCATTGTCGGACAAATTATGGGGGAATTCGATGTAAAGGAGGACAC